AATTCTGGAGCCAAGCAGCGGCAAAAAGGTCTGGACGTGTACTCCTACGTCCTAGCGGTCCTAGCATCGAAATTGAAAGATCGTCGTCATGGCTACTGATGGTTGCATGGAGGTTTCAGGACACATGATCCAAGCAGAGGCTCAACCAAGCAGTGAGGATAGAAATCTATTGAAAGCTGTAGACGTATCGCAGAAGCCCTGGCCTACTGCGAAGATCATGTTTAGATATGTGTAAGGAACAGGGTTTTTCTATCGCCCAGCAAGTTCCAAGTGCTCGCTCCTTGGGCCACGATGGGATGCCATGATGGACGAGATCCTGTGACATTCGCACTCTGAGACGGTGGGCTGGTTGACTTGTGCTCTGGTGCGCGGAGCAAAACATAAGATGTTCGTTGCAGCATGGGGCTCTTCTGGTTCTGTGCGGCTCGGGACACACTCCAAAGCTCTTGACAGCAAACATCTCCTAGATCAGAGCAAGGTGACATTCCTCACAAAAAGAAGGTTCAAGAGAAAAAATGACTTTGAAAAGCCCCGGTCTCCCACACATTGTGCAGCTTGTCTGCGATGCGTACAAGCTTCGCCTGGACCAAGCCAATCAAGATGCAAGCTAGGAAAGTACTGCGGCGTGCATCTTGAAGTAGAACCTGAACTGTACCAAGAGGGCTGGAGTTTGCAGGTGGGACACCCGGCGTATGCAAAACCTGCCTTCGGCGGCAAAGTTGTAGCACCTCGCAGCTGCACCAGCTTTCTGTGGACGGGTCGCAAGCTGTCCTTAGACATACATACAACAAGGCAGGCATGTCTGAAGCAGTGTCTTCGCCATGCGGTGCTATTCCAGGGTTTCCATTGCTTTGCTGAAGTATGGGTTTGGCAACGTCAGACCGAAGAGCAGCCTGCTTATTCAGGCAGGCGTGTTTCCTCTTCAATGCGCCCAGCCACGTCATCGGTCAGGGACGTCACTAGCTCCCGGACCTTTTTCAACCATCATTGTTGACCGTGCCAGTATATGCCAGCGCACTACATCATGCATCTTTATGCAGTGGGTATGTGCGGACATGTCGGACCACCAGTATCTGCAAAACTGTCACGCTAATTACGGCTGACACAATGCAAATGCCGCACAAGTATATTGCCGGGCTTCCTTCAAGTTTCCCGGGCTTGCAGTGAGAGTACAATGGAACAACCTCAACGAATCCTGGGCAGCAGGACTCCCCCTTGTTCATGCCCACCTGCTCGCCAAAAGTAGCGGAGAGCTCGGCAGCACTGGTATCGGTGTCCTGACAAAACGGCATCTTCATGCAACTCTTTCGGCTGTCACTCTGGAACGATGTACCGGCTCTGCAGTGCGAAGATTTCTTTTCATTGACGGCGCGAAGATCCCAGTGCCCAAGATTTCCAATGGGTGTCAAGACGAACATGAAATAAAACATGCAAGCCGCGATCAAGAATCAGCAGTGACAACTTCGCAAGCAAAGAAACAGGGCTTCGGTCTTAAAGCACCCGATGCAGCGAAAGGACGTTGCAAGTCTTGCTGAGCCCCATATTGAATGGATGGGGTCTACTTCCTTCCTGAGTTTGCCATCTCGGCGTCCTATTCACAACGCTTGCCACAGGGTAGGATTAAACAGATCCGGACATAACATCTGCTCTGACGCTTACTTTGCATGGTGGACAGGAGCAAACTTCGACGCAACCAGACTGGAATGCGTGCAGCATGCAATGTGTCCTCCAGCGTGTCGTGCAAGAGTGCCGCTTGCAGCGTGGGCAAATCACGGATGCCCACTTCGGCAAGAATGCGAGCAACGGCCAGGGGGTGGTTGATGTAAGGCGTCTGCTGTGGGTTTTTGCGAGTCTGGTTCAGGTGCTTCGTGGCAGCAAAGGCGATGGTGTGGAAGAGGGTGCTCATGGGCTGCGGCAGGGAGGAACCAGAAGCTGGAAGAATGGCCGGCGGCTCGGCTAGCGGTTCTGCAGGCGGGCCGTTAGTCGTCTGCTGCAGCACACTTGCCACACCGGCCCAGCCCACCTCGCCCATGGACTCGATGTCTTCTGACACTTGACACGAGGAGCCTTCTTCGTCTCGCACCTGCTGACAAACGGATGTTACCTGAGGCTCGTCGAAGTTGTTGTTGACCTGGATGAAAGAGTCTGTGTAAGGAAGAAGTTTCTGGAGAGCCCGAGGAAGCTTTTCCAGGGAGTCGGCGACTTCTGCAGGACTCACTGCTCGACCGTTGTGCCCTCGTTCGACTGCCCTTTGAAACACCGTTTCCTCGCACGCATGGATGTACATGAGGACGACGGACACATCCGGCAGCTTTTCACGAATCTTTTGCAGCACTCGGGAGTACCACTTGCCTTACTAAGGTCAGGCCTACTGAAGCAATCGCGACACACAATCGGTTACTAGAATTACTAAGCCAGCATGTGCAACCCTGAATGCTAGCTCCAAACGAATCCAAGACAAAGTGTACAGATTGATCCATAATCGGTGCACCGTGCCGTAGGGAGCTGTCAACCAAAATATTGCGCCTCTGCTGGAGAGCGTAAAGCAAAGTGAGCTCGCTGAGGTAGCCGGCCTCCAACCGGGTCATCACTGCAGCGCTGGAGTGGTCGTAGGCATCATATCCTTGGTGTAACAAGAAGCCTATACTGGCCTATGCCACACCCGTTTTCCACAACGTAACCGCGCCCCTCAACCCAACAACGGCCGAAACCACATTCTAGCACTTGGCATCACAAGGATCCCACCCACTCTGGAAGTTGCTTGGCAAGCTTGTCAGGGTTGATCTTAACAAAATCAGAGACAGGCAAAATGCCCTTGTCCCGGAGCCAGTGGAGCACAAAGGTTTTGCCCACGCCCATGGCTCCCGCAGTAAACCTTGGGGCATCTCGGTGAAAACATCTGTAATCACTGTATGAGGCCCAAAGCACCCCCCCCTCTACGAGGGGCTGCACCCTGCCGAGTACTTCAGTGAATCCAAGGGGCAACAGAACGGGTGCCTGCTGTGACCGACCATTGTTTTCAACAAGATCGGTGACAAGGTCATCCTGAAAATGCTGCCTCTCTGGGGTGTAATACCCGTGATACGAGCTGTCGACAAGCTTTCGGGCTCCTGCCAACTCAGAGCTCATGAATGACGTGAGTACTTCAAGAAGAGCCCGTCAGACGCAAACTACAGCACCCAACCACACCATCTGCCCGGCCTTCGAGCTTTCCAGGGATGATCACAGCCTCACTCGCTGCGTAGTTCTGCTGCGTGCAGATGTCCCAGTTGTAGTTTGCCGGGAGGTTGCACCACGCTCGCTGCACGGCCTCTCTAAGGCATGGCTCCGTTTGCTGCGAGTTTTCGAAAAAACGCAAAACGACTTGACCCAGTTTGCGTGGACTTGGCCTCTCGTGCAGACTGGATTCCCTACTTCTCCGGGGTGCAAGGCCAGGGGTTGCCACCCCGCAGCAATTCTTGTCCGGTGTGCGGGGCTGAGAATCGATGTGCGGTTGTGCCACGTCCAGGGTGGATCTTTGGATGCGCTTCTGTCGGCCGTGCGATGTCGACACTTCTTGCGGTCCTTTCGGCTCGGGTGGACGGTTTACAGTTGGAGCCCTTTAGACTGTCTTGTTTGTGTTTGCCGCTTCTCTGGCTGACGAACAAGGCCGCAGTGAATCTTATTTACGTGGGGTGCAGCTGATCTTCAATCGGCCTCCTCCTCAAGTGCGCTGATCTCATGAGACCTTTGCTCGGCCATCTCTGTGATAGGGCTGCCACAAGGCTAGGTTGAAGATGCCCTCCCTGACATGCGAAATGCAGGTGGTGTGGGCAAACGAATCCTTGTCTGCAGCTCGTTTGAGGGTGACACGACGAGAGCCAAAGCATTCCACACCCATTTCCGCATTGACTAACCATCAAAAATTGAAAGAAGAGTTTAGTCGGACTTGAACTTTCCGACTGATCATCTGCAACACGCGGGCCTGGTACATGGTCACACGACGTGGTCTTCTCAAAGCCCGTCGACGAGCAGTTAACACACCTACAGCAAATGGCAACGCCACCATTGCCTGGAAGGGGAACTGCAGAATGGAATTCTCATCCCACTGCACCGCTGAGAACTAAAGGCTGACCAATCAAGAGCCAAATAAACCAGTATCACCCGCTATCAAAACTATTGTCCAAGATGCAGCATGTCTTTCGATCATGTGCACAACACTCTTGCAGCATGATGCTGCTTCTGCTTTGATGCGCAGCGGTCGCCTGAGCAGAGGGTGGCATGCCCCCAAGTGTACTTCACTATATGCTGCGTGCTGCAGGGGCTGCACAGCATTGCAAAGCTCGCCTACCGCCTGTATGCACCCCAATCCGACCGAGATGCTCCAGGCACTGGCCGGTCGCAGGGCTCGTGGGCTTGCTGGTCCCCGGCACGGGCGCTGCCATCAGTCGTCCCATGTTGGAAGGCTGTGCCGGTGCAAAGTTGCGTATATCCTGTCGAACCTTGTCATGTCTGCTGTAGAAATAACTTGCCAATGCTATGTCCAGTCGGAGCAATATGTAGGCACGTTTAAGTTTGACTCACGCCCTCGCCCGCGAGATGGGAAACGCGGCTCGTTACATCGATGCCGGAAGGCTTGAGAAAGGGCTGCGATATGCTGCGACGATGACGAACTTGCCTGCATTCGCGATGCGGCATTGACAGCAAAGAACTATATGCAGTGGCATCGAAAAAAAGGAAGCCACAAGAAAAGCAAACATCCCGCCACCCTGACCGGTGTCTGTCGAAATAGACGTTCCCTTTTGGAAGCACCAGCGACTCAATTCGGAACCAGTCTGGATCGTTGTCCGCCTGTCCTCATATCTGCACGACAGGTGCAACCCCGATTGTTGCGCAGTTTACTTGCCTTCTGGGTTCGTCTGGGGACAGGACCTGTCTTTGGCAACACCTGCCATGTCAACGGACACGGTCCCGAGCCTTAGAGAGTGTGTAACACGTGTAACATGTGTATCAAACTGACTCCACGCGTGATCTGCGTTGGCAGTGAGCGACGCTTCTTGTTTGTTTGCTGGCTTTGGCTTTGGGCTTTGACCATGGCTGTTCCAACGCCGCGGGCCAATTCCTGCATGCACGTAACTTTCAAGTGCGTGGAAGTCGCAGGGCTTAAGCACCACTAATCTAGCGTGGGCTGACATGTGGTCCTTTTGGCACATTGGTGTTCGCAGGCAAGCAAGCCTGCACAACTAGCCACAAAGTCAATTCCCGCATAATGACCCAGCCGTAGCCTTCTTCAGCACGGGCAGCCAACTTTGCCGCTTCCGATCGACTTGGATCCTGAGCGGTTGCATAATGTAGTCCAGGGTCAAGCTCATGACGGCAGCAACCGAGAAAACTCAGTTCTTTGCTAGTCGGGTTTCAGCGCGCCCAGCCGTCACCATGCCAAACCTTCGAAAACGCAAGTTCCATCAGCCACTGCTGGCCCCATCAACCCCATTACTCCAAGGTGTGTTTTGCACATAAATACATCTCTGTCACTTCCTGCTTGTGCTCTTCTATTACGTTCGGTCAACCGTATCAGTACGCATACTGCTTCTAGACCGCTCCAGCAAACAACTCTTAATTACACTTTATGGTCTCATGACTGGTAAAGAAGTGAATAAAACGAATGTACACGAACATCAAAATGTTGTTCGGAATGCTGCTTTCCGCAACGCGATTCATGCACGACTGCCCTGCACTCCTACACTCGTTGTGTATATATGCTGGCAGCATGCTTACCAAATATAAACAACCCGATCAAACTGGCGAAACTGCGCATCAGCAAATCAGACTGCATCTTGTTCACCGACCGTTGACACAAAAGTCACAAAACCCTGTTAGCCCGTGTCCGGCCGAAGGCTGTGGCCAAGCTGCCTTGCCAAAACAATCTCCAAGGACCGCACTTGGTGCCCATCTCGGCCACGGAGCGACGCTGCAAGGCCTCAACTTTGCCGTGGCGACGTACGCGAACATGCATGGCAGAACAATTCGAGGGCGACAGCATCACGAAGTAGGCTCCAAACATCTTGTACCTCGGACAATGTTTTCCGAACACATCTAATTACTTCGAGCTTTCATTGGCTTCCGGCTTGCATGCTTTGTGCCTAAGAAGTGACGTGCCTGCGGCACGCACTCTTTTTGAAGGCACTTGCGAAAATTGGCCTGGCAGCTGGAGAAAACAAAGAATCATTACCGTCCACCAACTTGCCCACACACCGACGCTGCATGTGAGTCGTTGCCTTTTGTGTCTCCTCGCTTGGGGGGCCAGCCCAGCCCTTGCACGACGACACGATGTGAACGCATCGGCTACGATCCGCAAAGCGTGAACATAAACTGCAAGCAGCTAAGGATGCGACCGAATTGCCCATGTCAGTACAGAAATACCAGCTTTGGAAATTAACCGCGGTCTTGTTGCAACAATGGGTTTGCAAATGCCGTCATGAGGCGCGCATGCCGAGCTATACTTGGGTTGGGAGGGCTGCTGCAATGTGTCGCCATGTCGCTGGTGTGCAAGCATCAATAACCAAGTAACCAGGTCATGTGCCGTCAATCAGCAGCTGGCTGCAGGGATGAATCGGCATGCTCTTGGGGGAGTTCGTGCTGCTGCCTTGTCTTGGGAAAATTATAGGCATTCTACAACATGATATGGGGAATGCATTCGACGGACCCGATGGTTCGAACAAGTGCTGCCTTTTCTTATGAAATCGCTGCGCGCGAGCCGGGTGGGTCGCACCGCCCGTCCCCCCCCTCTCTCATTCTGCCTCCCTCGGCTTTCTGCACTGATTTCTGCCTTGCCTTGTCCTTACTACACGGCTACGCTCCCTACATACCTGTGCTGCGCACACATGCACACGTACAACCTGCGCGCTGTCGCTGCTACCTCGCGTCCTCCCCGAGCTGGTGATGCAGACCCGGCAAAGCTCCGTCCTTGCACTCCCGCCATATTGCCGGCCGTAAGCTTTGAGGCCTGTTGCGGGTTCCCCTGCAGATGTAAAAAGGCAACAACTATTACTAGAACCGAAATTCTAGCCGTTGTCGCGGCATACTGAGATGCTTAGTTGCCCTGGTCGGTAGCTGTCCTTCTGTGCGTTCTGGTCCCCGGGTGCGGGTAGATGGGGGCTACAGGCTTGAGATCGCGGACAAAAATTTGACGGTGGAAAAAATCACTCAGAAAAGCAACTTTGATGCAAAATTTTTAGTAACTGACTTCTTTTTTTTCCACGCACCTTTTTGAAGCCGTCGACGCGGTCCCAGCGCAACCGGAGCTACAGCCTACGGCGGGTTTCAGGCAGCGTGTGAGGTTGGCGCCGGGAGGCGGCTGCTGGTCGGGGGGAGGCTGCCCCGCACATCCGCGAGGATTTCATGCAGTTCCGGCGCCGCACCCGCAACGCAGGCCTCACCAGCGGGTGGGAGCTCGAGCAGAGAAGCCGCGTAGGCTCGCATCACTGACTTCTTGATTGAAATGCCGGCATCTTCATCTGCCGATCACGGTCCAACTATTTTTTCTTGCATACCCTCTAGCTGCCCTGCTGCGCGAGTTGCCCGTTTTGCTGCTACACAATTTTCCTCATGGGCTGCTGCCATCCAAAAATGGATTTCAGCAGATTCGGGTGCCTGACACTGCCTGTTGTGGCATTGCCCTGCCGCGAAAGTGCCGCAAACCGTCATGCACCGATGGTTGCAGCATGTAATGGTTTTTATTCCCCGCAGCTTCCTGCATCGGCACAAAGTGTCCCTCAGCTACGTAGTCTCCGACGGAGTGCTACAGCATAGCGCCAACCGACATGGGGTTGTTCGCGCTCGCCAGGTCCAGCACATCGCCCAACGAACGCATGGACACCACCCCAGCAGAGAGCCGAAGCAGGGTGCCGAGGAATTGCTGGCATTCGCCGCTCCAACGGCCCCCGATCTCAGCGGCGGGGACAACAAGCCGTTGCGGCTCCCAGCCCCAAAATGAGTTCCGGGTAATGTGCGACTTTGCGCCTGCGTGCGGGGACAAGCACGGCCCCCGCCCGTGTGTCAGTTTCGGGGACCGGTCGCCACCAGATTTAAATTTGTGTCACAACACTAGGCCTTTTAAATTTGTGTCACAACACTAGGCCTTCTTGGTGGTCGTCGACCCATAGACAACGAAGTCACGGCGGCGAACGGTCGTCAGGTGCTGTACTGCAGCCCGGCCCGGCCGTCCTTGCCAACAACCTGGCGAGCGACCTTCGACGACGAATCTGCACCGGGGCAGCAGGCCTGTATGGTGGCAGCCGTGCACCAGTCTGGCGGCACTGCTCCAGTATCCCTACACAAGTTCTTCAGCCCGACATCAACAGCCCGCATGATGTTGCACGCAATATTGCTTACGTGCCAAGCTGCTGCGGCGTATGGACCTTGACGACATTCCTACTTGAACGAATGCTTGCAACCGTCTCTCACTGTGCGTGGTAGCCCGCGGGTGCTGCTTGTGTAAGCTGCGTGGAGGGCAGTGTGGTCGTACAAGTTGTCTACATGTGAGTACAGCCTGTCAACGCTTCATTGTATATCTTTTTGTTTTTTTCCCCAACGTGCCTTTCTGACCGCAAGTAATGTCTCGACGCAGGTCCCTGTGCCGATGCGCCCTACATTGCAGTGCCGACGCAGCTAGTGGAGAACACCGCCTGCTAAGCGTGGTCCCAGCCCGTCTCGGCGAGAAGTTCGTGCAACTCGGGCTCAGAAGAGAGGCCGCAAAGGCGCGCTGAGCTGCGACCGCCAAGAGCCCGGACCAGCGCGCAATGATCGCGGCAGGTCTGGATGCGGCAGGAACAGCCGACGCCTTATGTTGCGCAAGCAGACGCAGGAGCTGCACGGTCTCAGTGCCAAACCTGCCGCCAGTCTCGACGCCGACAACGACGAGGCGGCATCATGCGGCATCACCTGGCGCGGGCGAGTTCAGGGTAAGTTTGATGTCGCTTCCGGCGCGCGGTGGCAATGACCGCACAGCCGGCTGGACATCGGCACGAGGATGGGCCTCGCCAAGCCGCGTGAGGGGCGACACGATAGTGGCATCGAGGGCGAGTTGGGACCCGTGCCAGAGGGGGAGAACCGTTCGCCACTTTGCTTTGTTGCCAAATATGGATCAGCATGAATGAATTGACAAGCAAAACAACTCCACGCGCTGACCATGACGCATGGTCGTTAACGGACTCGTCTCGGAACCCATAGCATCACCCCCACTAACTATATTGACCCCCCCCCCCGCAATCATTTCAACGTTAAAGGCCCCCCCCCATGCAATCATTTCCGGGTTCAACGTTAACGTTAAGCTCGGGGATGCTCGGGGCATGGGGGTTGAGGCGAGGCTAGAAGCTTCGACATGCTTCAACGATGCAAGTGCACCCTAAATCCTAAACCGTTTTGGGTTTAGGGTTTAGGGTTGAGGATGGTTGAGGGTGGGGTTGAGGCGAGGCTAGAAGCTTCGACATGCTTCGACGATGCAGGTGCAGAACGGAAGGTCCCTCGCAATCACTCGCACTGGCACTGATGTTTTTTCACCCCTTGATCCCCTTTTGTCGATTCAAGTGTCAGGAGGCCTTCGGCATCCCCGGCAGAAGATCGGGACCGTACTCTTTACGATATCCTGAAGCAGCTTTCGGAAACGCTTAATGCCGTTTGCCTGACTCGGCACCAGGAAGACAGCCTCGGAGACTGAAACATCCTTCTTCCCCTTGTGCAGCATGTGCATGACGAACGGACTCTTGACCACGACGTCGGCCCATGCTTCGCCTGCAATGGCGGACTCGTTGGTGCATATGCCGAGCCAAGGGAACCGGTCAGAATGCAGACCTATTTAGTTTCCGGGCAGGATAAGCGAGCTAAGCAACAACTCCTCCGCCAGGTCCTTCTGCTCCCACGAAGTGAATGCCACCCAGGAAGCAGTCGACCGCTTGGGATAGCAAACCTGAGGCAGGCCCCCCCCCC